GTGTAGTTCAAGGCTAAAAAAATAGATTAAAACAGAATGTCGTAACAAAGCATAGCTACCGATTTTTACTTTCTGGTAAGAATCCTTGTTTCTTAGTTTCCGGTTTTACTTTTAAATTTCAGCAAAGCACAGAAACTAAGGATTCCGAGCAACCACCAAGTATATATTTGCAATTAATTTGATTGAGTTTACTTAAACTTATCTCGTCTGATGAATTAAACTGTTTTTGTTGCACAATATTGAAGTGAAAGCAATTATTTTGGGGGTGCCTCTATTTTGTTCAGGTGAAATTAAAATAAACTTCTCAAGTGAAGTTTAATGATAAGCGTTTAAAGTGTGTTTTCAATTTAAAATTTTTGATCCAACATTTCTCAAAGAGCCTTATACTAGATTAAGTACGGTTTTCGAGATTTAAGTTCGTAACCTTGTATTATAGTATTATCCTAACTCGATTGCAAAATGGTTCAGTATAGAATGGTAAAATGAATAAAAAGGCCATATTTAACAACAATCAAATTGAATAAATGTAATAAATTGCTTCCCAATAAGCCTAACAAATAGTGTAGAACGATCACAGCATCCTCCAGTCGGCCAGGCAAAAACGTAACCGTGCAGACCACCGTGTTGCAGGGCACACCCGGACATGTCCCATTGGCCCAGTCCCTCCCTCATATCGTTGTACGGTCCTTTTAATCTTTTCAAAATATTGTTTCAAGCTGAATATACAAATTCAGCGGGACACTAAAATCACATCAGCTGGCAACTAGTGGACTGTGATGCAAATTTTGAAGAACCTCAAATTTAATGCGTAAGTTACAATTTCACATGATGTTCTTGTTCTCTGCACGTTTTTAAAAATGAAGAACTATAAAACCTCTTAGGAGCCGTTCACAAATGACGTCACACTTGAAGAGGCGGAAAGGGGTTCCAAGATGTGTGACATCCCACATTTTGGTCAAAACGTAAAATATTTCTATTCAACAGATCAAATATTTTTTATTTATTTGTTTTCATACTTTTTCTTCTTTTTCATCAACATAAGCGCACATGTAATCATTATTATTGTTATACTCACAAATCATCGCTTTGAAATTAAACCGTAGTAACTCAAAAAAAAAATCGAAAAGTTAGATATTTTGGTCATTTTGGGAAAAAAAAATCACCCTTCTAGGGAAACAACGTGTTATCTTCATAGTTCCATAAAATTAATTTAGAGTGTTGCAGCTCAAAGTACTTTAACTTATTTCGAAATTACCGCATAATTGGAAATGCTATAAGAATCAGGATTGGCTCATTGAAAAATGTAAAGAAACAGGGTTTTTTTAATGTAAACTATTTTGCAATAGTCGCCATAGCTTCGATTCAACTTGTGGTGGAAGTTCCTGAAAAGTTAGAAATCACTCTCCTGAGAAACTTGCTTTTTTGAGTTACCACGGTTTAGTTTCAAAGCGACGAAATGTCATTAAAAATGTAGGTTAAATTTTTGAGAATACTTGTAAAATTTGAAACATGAATTTTTTTCTGACCTGTAAGCATATGTTTGTATAATGTGGCGTGACAAAGGGGTGTATGGTGAAATGTGAAACGGTGATAAAGTGTAAGAGTATAGTAAAAAAAAATGTTGCGTGACATTATTTGGTGACGGTGTCTTAGAAACAATAATGTTCTTAACGTAACTGAAATGCGGCCTTTAATGTTCTATTTATGAATACAAATATTAAGGTTTAAGAAGAAAAAAAATAATTTAGATTTTCTTCTGAAAAAAGGTCTAGTCTAGATATATACTATACTATTGCAATTGTCTAAATACTATACTATTACAATACTATACTATACTATTACTTACTATACCATACATAAAATAATCTGCTATTACAATACTATTGTAAATGTCTAGACTAGAAAAAAGTCTAGAAAAAGTAAAACAATGAAAGAGAACTATTTTTTCAGCAATAAAAAACAACAAGTATTGTTCCACACTGTTAAGAATATTTGCTTTTAATCTCTGCTTTATTGCTTTATAACTATTTACTTTATATCGATTTGCTTTATTGCTATGTAACTATAATATTTTGCTTCATAACTCATTTAATCTTCTTTAATCGATTTAAGAATTTATTTGTTTTACATTTGATGAAAGTACTAAGCATTGGAATGGACAGGTGAGTCGAAGAGTTTTGTAACTATAAAATAATACCGAGCTTTACTTTTTTAATTAATAGTTTGTTAAGAAAACTTTTTTTTTCATAAGAGGCTTTTATAAAAATGTTTCTAAGTGATTTATTTATAAATATTTTTAAGAGATTCAGATTTATTTGCAGTAAAATTGTAACAGAATGAAAATTGCTTCTTAATGAAATATTTACGTCATAAATGTAAACATGTATTTTAATGTAAACAAGTATTATAATAATTTGCAAGCAAGTACTTATTCTTATCAATATGTGTTAAAGAATATCTGATATTAGAACAGCATCTTGTTAAGCTTAATTATACACCAGCATTAAAAGTGTATCTTAGGCAGGCATATAACACACAAATGTGTGATATATACTATAATTAATTTATCAAATAAAACTTGTGGGCCTATCTCTAAGAAATGAAATTTCTAGTCATTACTAAATTTAATCAAGCCAAATTTATTCCAAATAACTGTTCATATGTAAATTCAGTCATTATTCCTCATTCGTTCTGCAAATTTTTGAATAATAATATAACTAAATTCATTAATTTTAATTAATTGTTCTGAATAAAGTTTAAAATAACGGCTGTAAATCACACTCATTATATAATATTTGCACTATATAATTGCTGCATGAAAAACATGAAAGCCGATTACATTTATCAGTTTCAGTTGTAATTAATAAAAGTTACTAATTTTTATTAATCAATTTCCTGTATTCAAGATTACAAGTAATCACGAAAATTAATAATCCTATTTTCTCATCCTATATATATATATATAAACTGCTGTTTGTAGAAAATGCAACACCATGAAAGAATCATCAGAATCAAATGAAATTTAATGCAGAAACGACTTGTACTGATACAAATAAATGATGAAATTTTCAAAACAAAAGAAACAAATTAAGCGTCCGAAATCAGTATTTGGTGCAGCCACCACGCGCTGCAATAAGTGCTGCTATACGACGTGGCATGGAGTCAAACAGATGTTGAATATCTGCTTGAGGAAGAGAATTCCATATCGCTTGTATGCGCAACCAAAGTTCGTCTTTGGAAACTGCAGGACGCGGATCACGAGTGAGACGCCGACCAACCATATCCCACACGTGCTCAATAGGCGACATATCCGGCGAATAAGCAGGCCAAGGAAGAAGTTGCATGCGTTGTGCTGAACAGAAGTCTCTAACAGTCCGCGCAACATGTGGGCG